TCCCCTGCCCCTTCTTAGGCTTCTCCCACCAGCGGCTAAGTTGCAACAATGGGCAATTCCTGCTTTGGCTTCAAGGAACGTGTGCTGCAGCGCCTGCAGCTTCTGCCCGCCCTGCTGATAATTCGCATCTTTCTGCCACACCGAAAGGTCAAAGATTTCCGTGTGGTGGTAGTCGGCTCCGCTGGAGTGGGCAAGAGCACCTTGGTACAGAGGTGGGTGCGCGGCACCTTTCGCGATTCATATTTGCCGACGATTGAAGATACCTATCGCCAGCTAGTGGGCGGCCAGCGCCGCATGGGCGTGCTGCAAATCACCGATGCCACCGGCGGCCAGCGCTATCCTGGTCTGAAGCGCATGGCCATTGCCAGGGGCCATGCCTTTATCTTGGTCTACTCAGTCACCAGGAAGGAAACCCTCGAGGAGCTGAAGCCCTTCTATGAGCTGATCCGCGAGATCAAAGGAAGCAACCTGCATAAGTTCCCTATTGTGCTGGTGGGCAACAGAAATGATGAAGGCCCCAGAGAGCTGGCCCTGGCGGATGGTGCTGCCTGCGCGCAGGAGTGGAATTGCGCCTTCATGGAGACCTCGGCCAAGGAAGACATCAACGTCCAAGAGCTGTTCCGCATGCTTCTGTACCACAACAACAAGCCCACTACCTGCCTGGAGAAGAAATCCCGAATGACCCGGGCCATCGAGAAGATGCTTGACAAGTACATGGTCATGTGAGCCCCGACCTCCGCAGCCTAACCTTCTTATCCTGTAGTGTGCAGAAAACATGGACTAATCCCAGTGTAATGTGTCCCAAGTGCATCATTGATTTCTGTGCTGTGACCTGGACTGTAACAACTAGACATCAATAAATGTACACAAGTTGATAACTTTTATTTTTCCCAGGCAAGAGAATTCAATTATGAAAGCATTGGTACTTGAGCAGGAGGAGGGAAAAATAAAAAGAAGCACCACGTATTAAAAATAAGACTGTAACTGTTGTAACTGTTATTGTGTATTATTTGTAAACATTTCAAGTCCCCTAAATGCCTAATCATATCTTTCCATTGTGTATATAATCATTAAGAAATGTGTTTTGCAACAAAAGCCTTGGCAAATTGCTGTGAGTCTGGATATACTGAACATGAAAAAATGAACATTCTGTAGTTGAACATTGAGACTAGGAACAGAGAAAATTGTAGAAGTGAAACTTGCTCCTCAAAGATGTGCTGATTGTCATTTACAAATGTTCAGATAAACTACATAGCAATTTTAAAAGTGTGCAAAAATTCCTTGACTTAATAAAGCTTTTCGTGTATGCAACTGGCTGTAAGAATTTCTTTCTCAACAGAAAAGTGATCATTGCATTAAAATTTAAACCACATCTGTTAAAGGTTTCTAATAAGAACTTCACACATGAATGCCTCTGCCCTCTTGAATTAGCTACTGGGAGAGGGAGGGGTTGAAGGGGGTCCCTGCAGGGCAAAGCTGTTTTGTATCCAAAACCTTCCCTGGACTGATACCCAGAACATCTTGAAGAAGATTCTCACTGTGTTGCTGTCTCAGAGGAAGCAGATGCAAAGCAAACCTCAGTGTGCTGTTGCCTCAAAAGTCTTTGCTCAGGAAATATTGACTATAGAGAATGGGGAGGAAGATGGGGGTTGGAGGGGGGAATGGGTGGGATTTGAAAATTTTCTGCAGAAGAGAGCTTTAGAAATAATTACATTGGGATAAAATTTTTGGAGGGAATACACGTATCTTTGGTAAGCTTTTTTTTTTCCCAGTGTGGGGGAGGTGAAAGAGATGCTCTTGTGAATTTTTTTCACACTATTATTGATCGAATAGCTATTGAACAATTTCTGAATAGAAACACATAATTCTCTATAATGGGAAGCAGCACACTGTTGGGAAGGACTTATAAACATCTATTTCATAGTAGATACACAGAGTGACAGTTTTGAGCTTAGAAAATTTGTTTAGTGACTTGTTTTCAAATAATCAATTGTTTAAGGTTTTCCCCATTCACTTTCTTAGCAATTATTCTCAACTACTAGAAATTACCTAAGTGACTCTACCACATTGGTTTTTATGAACTCTATAAAAAAAAATTCTTAACTAAAGCCCTTAATATAGTAACTCCATTTCTAAAAGAAAATACTCAAACTTGGCTATTTTCCAGAATTTTCCTTGAAAACTATCGCATTAGTTGTTGCCCTTTATAGATGAACAAAGGGATTACTAAGGATTTGAGTGGCAAATACTAACCTTTGAAAAGGACACATTTTTTAATATTACAGATAATGCTTAATAAAAATAAGAATAAAAATTTTAAGATGCCAAATATTAACAGTCAACATGCCAATGTTTCTATATTCTAGAAAACATTGCTGTAATCTTTCTCCATGTTCTACACTATATTCTTTAATCCTCACAACCCCATGAGATGGGTACTGTTAATGCCTGTTTTGCAGTTGGGGACACTGATAAATGTCAAAGAACTAGCAAGCAACAGAGCTAGGAATTGAAGCCAAGTGTTCTGCTATAAGAGTCAGTGTTCTTACCCACTGTAGTGCCATTCATCCCTCAGTATTAACAGGAGATTGGTTCCAGGATCCCAACACACACCCCACAGGTGCTAAAATTCATGGGTGCTCAAGTCTCATATGTAAATAGCATAGTATTTGCACATCACCTACATACATCTTCCTATAAGCTTTAAATTTTCTCTAGATTACTTGTAATACCTAATACAATGTAAATGCCGGGTAAGTAGTTGTTATACTGTACCATGGGGGAATACTGGCAAGAAAAGAAGTATTCATGTTCAGCGAAGTTTTGATTTTTCTCCATCTATGCAGCATGCACAGTGGATCCTGTAGAAGTCACAAACCATAGGTTGCTGGGAGGGAGTACTTCCCAAGATGATTAGTCAAAGGATGAATTAGTTCACTTCTCATTTGTATTGTACAAGGCGGGTGATCAAGCTTCCTCAGACCTTCTCTAGAATATTGTATGGGAGACCAATAGACAAATCAACAATTCAACAAGGTTAGGGTGTTGTAGAAACAGGAACCATAAGCACCTTACACAAGGAGTTGGAAAAGTTTTCTCCAAAGAGATGATATAACCTCCTAAATCATTAGGTCTAGTACTGGCTTAAACAGGGTGCTGTGGGTGAGGAAAAGAAAGGGCAATGTTTCCGGCAGACAACAGTGAACAAAGTCCTCACGAAATGTGTGAGCCTGAGAGATAATGGCATGTTATCGGAAATGGATGAAGCAAATTGCAGAAGATGAGCCTGAACAGAGTTTAGCATTCATCCTTTAGAGGTAATGGGAAATGACCAAAGAATTGAGACAGACCTGATTATATCTGTATTTAAAAAAAAAAAACAAAACACCACCACCACTCTGGGACCTCTGTGGAAAGGGTCCTGAAGAAAGCCAGGTAGGCAAATTAGATAACTGTCAGAATGTTCCAGGAATGAGATTTGAGTAAATGCTCTAATCACTGCCAGAGGACATGGAGACAAAGGGACAAATTTGATAACTATTTAGCAGGTAGAATGGCTGGAGCTTCATCAAGTGTTGGAATTTGGAAGAAAGGGAGAAACTAAAATGACTGCTATGTTTCTAAATGGGATTCCTGGGTGAATCATAGGGTCATTAACAAAGACCAGAGGTGCAGAAAAAGAGAGACAATTTGAGTGAATATCTATTTGCACATGCCCCTATGAACAGTAAGTTACATTTTTGATAACATAATTATAAGGTGCTTATAGGATGGGCAGATAAAGGTTTCCAGTAGGAACTGGACTGGGATTAGGGACTGGAGAATGAATTGTGAGTTGTTAGCATACAGCTGATGGCAAGGCTGGAGAGGAAGAGAAGAGGGGACAAGATCAAAGAATTTAGGAGAAAAATCCTAAGGAGCAGAAGTATTCAGAAAACTACTAACAAAGAGGAAACTGTGAAGGACACTGTGAAGTGATCAAAAGATAGGAGGAGACATGATGCACAGTAGTCAATGCTGAGAAAGAGATTTTTAAGAAAAAAGTACACGTAAAAGACAATTAGAAGAATATGAAGAACAAGCAGGCATTAGAAAGTGTAGCTCAGATTTAGCAGTTGAGAGAGACTTCTGGTTCCAGGCAGAACACCCATTCCTCCCATGCACTCTCATAACTAAAAGAATCCTGGATATAATACAACAAATAAGCAAAGAAAAATACTTAAAGATAGAAAAAAGTAAACTGCCTGAAAGCCTTCACTGTAGGAAACAGGAGGACAGTGACTTCTGAGTTTCCTTGCTGTCCTTCACACATCCTGGACAAGACACCATAAACATCCCCAGGCCCAAACCACAAACAGGCACAGACAAAAAATAAAAGACAAGAAAAATCACATTTCCCTAAACCAAAGGACCCAGAAAAGAGTGGTTTAACAATAGGACACCTTCTTAGCAATATCTGTCTACTCTAGGTAAACACCAATGGCAAAGCCCCTCTGCTTCTCCACACTTCCCAGAGTCTTCCACCCTACCCTTCCCTGCCCCCATGGGAGCAGGAGAAATGGCTTTGATTTCCCCTTCTGGTATTGTTAGGAGCAGGACAGAGCAGGAAGCAAATCCTCTACCCCAGATCCCTTCCACCTCTTTCCTGTTAGTAGGGTGATGTCAGTGGGGCTGAGCAGTGAGCTAACGCTTTGAATCCCTTGTTTTCAGTCAATGCTTGTCCAGAGCTGAATAAAGCAGAGCCAGTCAGTGCTCCTCCCCGCCCCCTGCCCAAGGATATCAGCAGGACACAGTGGAGAGAAGAGGCTTCAAACCCACCTGGCATCAGCAAATATGTATAAAGCTAAGTAAGGTGGAACTAGTTGGTGTTTCACTCCCTCCTTCCATCCCATCACTAAGTGTCACTGGGGATCTGAGCATAATTACACTCCAATGAGGCAGTGCAATTCCATGCTCACTATTGTTGGGAAGCATTCTATGGGATTGAGAGGGAGCTGAACTTCTACCCCCTCCTTCTGCAAAGAGTCACCAATTAGTCAGCACTCCACTTTTCTTGAGGTGATTGATGGAATGCAGCAGAAAGCAAAAAATTCATACCCACCTAGTCCTTAAACTACACCTTAAGAGAGTGAAAACTGGGTTAAAAAAAAAAGATTAAATAGGATCGAGAGTATTATGGCATAATAATGCAAATAGCTAGGATACAATAGAAAACCATTCATCAAAACAAGAACCAGGAAAATTACAATTTGAATGAGAAGAGAAATCAACAGGCACAAATACCAGGATAAATGAGACTTTGGAATAATCTGAAGAGAATTTTAGAAAAATTATGAATTCTTCAAGTAAAAAAAGAAAGAAAGAAAAGAAAGCCTCAGCATAGAAGTAGATGTTGTAAAAAGAATCATATAGAAATTACAGAACTAAAAGATAGATTAACTATAAGAAAATTCTTACTTCATAGGTCCAATAGAAGAGCGGAGATGATAGAAGACAAACTCAGTGAACTTGAGGACTGATAAATAGAATTAACCCAATCTGAACAACAGCAAGGAAATGGAACAAAAAGAAATGCAGAGTCTCCAATATCTGTGTGACAGTAACCAAAGTTCCAACATTCATATTATTGGAGTTCCAGAAGTGGGGGCAGGGCATTGTCAGGGTAACACAACTGCCAGTGCTGCCAAGGTCAGAAAGAGAGTGGACACTGGATCCCCCACTCCATTCTCTTTCCCACCCAGGCCACCCCTTACTTCTCACGTCTGTGTCTTTCTTAGCACTCGGCCTGGATTTCTCCTCCACTTGGCAGAGTCACATATCAAAATTGAAGGCATTCTTCAAGACTCAACAAATGCAAAAATCTATCAGAAGCCTCCACGTTTTCCTTTCCCGGAAATGAGAAGCAATTCTCTCACCCAGTGCCTCTAGTTCATATTCAAGTTAAGTTTGGGCCTGGCTCTCTGACCAGGCTCAATGCTGATCTTCAATTTTTGGCTCACAGTCCAGCTGGCATTGGCCCCTCCCTAGACTAACTCTCTGAGAGTCATAAAACTTTGTTTCTATCTTCCAGGAGCACCATCAGTTGGGAATCGGAATGTTCATATTTCACAGTTGACCCCCTCACTTCACCATTTTTTAGTCTCATGCCTGAGCAAGTCACTTCTCTCAGCCTCAGTTTCCCCATCTATGTTTGGGGGATGAAAAGTTCTGCTCTGTCTGCCCCATCGAGTGGCTAGAAAGAAAGGAATAGGCTGTGAAAACACTCTGTGAACTATAAGAAAAACACAAGTAAGATAATTTAAGTCAGTTTC